GGAAATCAGCTTAATTCTTTCTTGTTTACTTCAAAGGATTTTAATATTTTTGTACCCTCAATGGTGTAGTTTGGAGGAGTAAAAGCCTTTAATGCTTTTTATGCCAGATCCAGCATGTACAGACATCCTCAGGTAAGTCAGTAAACTCCTTAAAGCACAGCCTACAACCCCCCACTTCACACTCTCTCTCTCCAGCTTCCTACTGGGTCCTGGGCGTGCTTCCTCACTGGTCTCCCTGCTTGCAGGCATGCTCCGACCACCCTTCTCCACACAGCAGTGGGACAATCTGCACGTATCATAAGTCAGATTGTGGCCATCAGCTTCCATCCATGTGTCCCCACAGGGCTCTGACTCTCCTGAGAACAAAATCCCCACTCCTAATCTGCACTCCATGGCCACGTGTGACCGGCTCCAGCCCACCCCTGACCTCTTCCCCTCCCACCCTCGCTTTATTTGAGCCACACTTGGTTTCTTTCTTCTCCAAATACATGTGCTCATTCCCCTGTTCGCACTTACTGTTCCCACTGATAAAATGCTCTTCCAATCAATTCTTTTATTTGTCTATCTCCTTCTTATCTATCCCTTTATTTCTTCTTGAGTTACTTGTTCATTCATTCCTTCATTTGAAGCAATGTCCTGACCATCACTATATTTGATCTTCACTCTAGCACTTATTTTTTCTTTATGTGTCTGTATATTACTGACTCCTCTGACTAAAATATTATCTGCATGAGGAAAGGGGCCTTGCTGTATCTTCACACACTGTGCTTTTTGGTACTTAGAGCAGGTACACATGCTAAGCACTCAGTAAATGTGGAGTGAACAAATGAACTTGTTCCAGTTACCTTATCAGATTAGCAGAGGGATCAAAGACTCTAAGGTCAGAATTGCCAGAATTTAAACTTTACCTCTACCTCTTTCTAGGAGACACAATTCCTACATCTATCAAATGGGCAGAGCATAACCCCCTCATAGCGATCTGTCGGGTTTCAATGAGACGATGCACAGCTATTGATATTCTGATGCCATCTTTATTTTATGCCTCTGTTTCCATTGAGGTAATATTAGAGCAAGGCAAGTTTTTGAACTGTTACCCTTGGTTTTATTCCTTAGTTACACCGTGACATGAAACCAGGAAACCACACCGGTGTTGCTGAATTCCTCCTCCTGGGTCTCTCCGAGCAGCAGGAGCTGCAGCCTCTCCTCTTTGGCACCTTCCTGGGCATGTACCTGGTCACCGTGGTGGGGAATATTCTCATCATCCTGGCCATTGGCTCTGACCCTCACCTCTACACTCCCATGTACTTCTTCCTGGCCAACTTCTCCCTCACTGACCTGTGTTTGTCATCTACCACAGTCCCCAGGATGCTGGTGAATATCCAGGCACACAGGTGTACCATCTCCTATGTTGGATGCCTGTGTCAGATCTATTTCTTCCTGTGGTTCATTGGTCTAGACGTCTTCCTCCTGGCAGTGATGGCATATGACCGGCTTGTAGCTATCTGCCATCCACTCCACTACACCTTGGTTATGAGTCCCAGATGCTGCACCCTGCTGGTGGCCACATCCCTCATCCTGGCCAATTCCTACTCTCTAACCCACACCATTCTCCTGGCTCAGTTATCCTTCTGCACCAACAATGTCATTCCCCACTTCTTCTGTGAACTTCTGCCCCTGTTGAAACTCTCTTGTTCCGATACTTATGCCAACCAGTGTGTGCTGATGTACTGGGGAGGGGCATTAACCTTCTTGATCCCCTTGCTAATCATCATTTCATACATCCGCATTGTGGCTGCCATCGTGAGGGTCCCATCAGCCAGTGGGAAGTGGAAGGCCTTCTCCACCTGTGGCTCCCAACTTTCAGCAGTTTGCTTGTTCTATGCATCTGCTATTGGGGTCTACTTCATTCCCTCCACTGCTGACTCAGCCAGCAGGGACAGAATTGCAGCGGTGATGTATGCTGTCGTGACTCCCATGCTGAACCCATTTATCTATAGCTTGAGAAACAAAGACATGAAGAGGGCCTTACAGAGATTCCTGAGCAGAGCACTGCAGTCTCCCTGAGGCCAGAATGTCATTTGGGGAATTTAGGGGAAATCGATTTGTAGAATTATCATGGTGCCTAAGTTCAAATCCTGAATCTTTCACTTGCTCACTTTCCAGCCTAGGGCAAATCAGATAAGCTCACTGAGTTGCCATTTCCTCACTCATAAAAGGAGTTAATAAAATAATCTCTATCCTAAAGTGGTGTGAGTGTGTACATGTACATTTGCTTGTCCCAGGTCTTATTCTTTATTATCGTCAGCAATATTTAACGCATTTCTTTGAAGTAGATATTTTCACCTTTTCATTGTGCAGAAAACATAGGCTCAGAGAAGTTCAACTATTTGCCTGAAATGAAGTCACACCACTAATAAGTGGTTGAGCCAGAATCTGAACCCAATATCTGATTCCAAAATACATACTCTTAGTGATGACAGGATGCCTAAATGGACACAAAATCTACATATTCCAAATCTACATATTTGTTTTCTTTATTTTCTTGTTTTCCTCACACTGTTTACATATGAGGATCCTGCTCTAATCAAAAATTTCTTTCAATATTAGCAAGTGATTTGAAGATGAGAAGAGGCAAATAAGAATGTAGAGGGTAAAAGTGTAACAGCCTTCAAAGATTCTGACACCTCTCCAAGGGATACACCCTCTGCTTGAACATAAGTCTCTGGTTTAATATTTTGAAATGACTTATGAACAAAACCACTTGACCAAAGATAAAAGTATTTGAACCACATTATTCTGGCTCGACTTAGTTTTTTTTTTTTTTACTAACTAAACCATTCTTCAGCACTATTCACAGCTATATTAATAGTCTATATTTAGATATCTATTTTAAAATGTAACTATGCATCTCTTCTAGAGATGCTTCTAAGGAAATATTCTAATAGCCTCCAGAGATTTTTCATTAACTTGCTGGAAAAATTTTAGAACTTGCACTGCACTCTATCAATTTCTTCTCGGCATAATTTTTTTTTATTAAATCATAGCTGTGTACATTAATGCAGTCATGGGGTACAGTGTGCTGGTTCTATATACAATCTGAAATATATTCATCAAACTGGTTAACATAGCCTTTGTGTCATATTCTTAGTTATTGTGTTAAGACATTTATATTCTACATTTAGAAAGATTCACGAGTACCCTTGTAAGATAAACCATAGGCGTGGTCCCACCATCCTCCCCCCCTCCCCTTTCATATGAAAAGCTATAAATTAGTGTCATAGTAGGGCTGAGTCCATTGGATACTTTTTCTTCTATTCTTGAGATACTTTGCTAAGAAGAACATTTTCTAGCTCCATCCATGTAAACATGAAGGAGGTAAAGTCTCCATCTTTCTTTAAGGCTGCTAATATTCCATGGTGTCATATACCACAATTTATTGATCCATTCATGGGTTGATGGGCACTTGGGCTTCTTCCATGATCTAGCAATTATGAATTGGGCTGCAATAAACATTCTGGTACAAGTATCTTTGTTATAGTGTGATTTTTGGTCTACTGGATATATATACCTGACGTTGCTGGCAGAACAGGACCAAACAACTTTGCAGAATTTGTTTCTGTCTGGGGCGGCGCCTGTGGCTCAAAGGAGTAGGGTGCTGACCCCATATGCCAGAGGTGGTGGGTTCAAACCCAGCCCCGGCCAAAAACTGCAAAAAAAAAAAAAAAGTAAAGAATTTGTTTCTGTCCCAGCTATATTTCCTTGCAGATAAGAGACTGCTTGAGTTGACAGAAACCACAACTGAGCCCCAGGCAACAGCAAGCAGTTAGAACTCACACTTAGCTGTCAGTTCCAGCCTCTGCCTGCCCAACTTTGTCTCAGCTATGATCCCCTGAGGGCCGGGTGTGTCCTAGGCTCAGTAAAGCAGTCCTCTGGATCAGCCCCACTCTGGGAGTCTGCCATCTCTGCATGTGGGAATTCTAGTCCCTGTGCTCCACCCAGGCCGCTACCGCCTCAGGCCTTCCCTTTACTCATGGGGCCTACACTTCTGTCGCAGATCCATTCCACCAGTGGCTGCCACCAGAGAAGATGCCCAGCTTCCTCTGGTTGCCCAGAGAGACAGGGCATGTCTGTCCAGGATAGCCCTGGAGGTATGAGCCTATTTGTTCCCCCTGGTGCTGCTGCTCTGTGCCTCGGGGCACCACCACTCTTGTATTGTTCCCTCTCAGCTGAGTGTCCTCTTCTTACTCCCCTGCCACAGAATCAGCACAGACCAACAATAGTCCCTGCCCCATCCACACCACTTGAGAAAATGCCCAAGAATCTGGACTCCCTGGGGTACAGGCTTCCAGACCTCAGGGTGAGTGTGGAGGGCAGTGCTGGGAGTTCAGAATTGCAGGTAGAGAATATATACAGTTTTATACAGTTTTATGCCTGACAGGAGAGTGCCATTGCACCCTCATAGGGGTAGGAGGTCCAGTTTTTAGAGGGTCTCTCCTGTGGGATAGAATAGGAGGACATTTGAACTCTGCTCACTTGTTTGTATGGAGTATTCTGTGAGCCCTTCTCACAGGGGAGGGGACTCCCATCTGCTTGGTGATGGATTTTGTACCTTTTGTTTGTATCCTTGGGGTTGCTGCTTGCCTCAGCAAGGTTGATGTGCATTCTTCAACCTTCTCTCTTGGCTCAACTCTAAACCCTCGGCCTACTTGCTAAACTTTTGTCTTTTAACTCTCCTTCTAGATGGGAGCCTCTGTGGAAAGCTGGCTGCAGTCCACCATCTTACCTCTGCCCACCCACTTCCTGGCATAATTGTCACTCTATTGAAATATCACTGAATAACTAAGATCTTTAAAATAATTTTAAAATGAAAATAGGGAAACTTACATTGGAGTCAGAAAAACCTTGGCTTATGTATTGGATCTACCACTTGTGTAACTTTCAGCAAGTTATCAATATCCTGGAGTTCTAGCTTCTGAATTTAGCAAATGAATAGAAACAGTAACTATAGTAACTATCACCTAAGGCTACCATGAAAAGTAAAAAGGTTAACACATGGAACACTTTGCCTAGCAAAGTGTCTTATACATATGCTATAATTTATAAATTCTACTCCAAACACAGATCATATCCAATCTTCCCTTCCCATCTCTCTCCTCTCCTTCCCACCCTCTCTCCTCCTCTGTTCTGCCCTTCCTTCCCCATCTTCCCATTCTCTCCTCTCTACTTGACAACTGCCATTTTAAATGCACAGGTGACATATCCACTCTAATAGTTATCCTATAGAATTGTCCTAGAGTCAACAGTATCAGGAAAGTAGCCTTTAGCCTTAAAAAGATATTGTGAATATTGCCCTAAACTGAGTGCTCCTTGAATGGTGAGTTGCCAATTCTCTGCTACTACTCATGCCTTTCAGTGATGCTAACCAGAGTTACAATAGTAGCAACAAATCCCTGACTTCTTCTGTTGCCCCAAGTATAATAAATGCTGGTTTTACTACCCCTTCCTGCTTTCTACTGTTTGAGGAAATATTGAATCACAGCATACATTGACCAATGGATTATTCTTTAAGAACCATTTTAAGTGGTCGTTTCTAGTCCACATACCTTGTAAAAATGACCATATCAGGGATTTGGGTGGAGACCCTGAGATCGAAAACTTTAGATCCCCAGGTCGCCTCACCCACAGAATAGCAGCCTCTCATTTTCCTTTCTTTACATAAATCTGTGTCTTTCTATATCTTATTCCCCATCCCCTAGTCTCTGTTTGACAATAAACCTTCCTAACTTCAAGACCTTTTACTAATGTTACCTTTTCTGCATGGTCGGCCTGGATTCATCTCTCCAGAGGGGGTTATTCACTACTGTATGTACCCAAAGTTCTCTGCAACCTTCTTGATAAAACATTAATATCTCATGCTAATATCAACATATGTATTTACATACACATTTTTGGCCATATTTTTAGCTGCTTTAGAGTGGAAAACATTTCTTCAAATATTGTAATTAAAAGTGTGGCACTAATGAGTGAATAAACATACATAAATTAAATTGAGTACAAACCCCAGAAATAAAAATGTAATGTATAATAAAGAGAGAACCTCAAATCACTGGTATAAAAATGTATTATTTAATACATGATACTAGGACAACTCCTTAACCATTTGGGGAAAAAAGCCATTCCACAATGTATATGTAGAGTTATGCACCATGTAATAACATTCAGCCAACAGTAGACTGCATATACGGTGATGGGCCCATAAGATTATAAAGGAGCTAAAAAATTCCTATCGCCTTTTGTAATAAAGCCAATAATACCACCATAAGTAGTTCATTCTCTCAGCTTAATCTAACCCTAATTACTTCCCAAAGGCTCCATGTACAAAAATCATCAGATGAGGGGTTAGGGCTTCAAAACATGAATTGTGGGGGGTGGGGTACACAATACAATCCATAGCAAGCAAAAATTATCAATAAATGCTAAAATTAATGGACAAAAGCAAGATGAGAAACAGGGTATTTATACAGTCTCCAAGTTCTACCCATAAGATATTATTTGTTTAAGGGGAAAATAGGAACTTTATGAATAGAAAAAGCTACTACCTTAACCAAGAGGTCAAAATATACATTACCGGTAATAAAATGTACCAATAGGATTTACTTCCCAATATGATATAATGAGAAGAATACAATTTCACTTTTGTGGTATGTCAAAACAATATAACTGACTTTAATCATGAGGAAACAATAGACAATTACAAATTGAGGGACATTCTACAAAATAGCTATCTTGTGCTCTTCAAAAGTATTAAGTTCGTGAAAGACGGAAGAGCTGTCCAAAGTGAAAGGAAATTTTGAGAGTGAAATGCAATGTGTGACTCTGGATTGGATCCTATACCTGAAAAAGGACATTACTTGGGGCAACTGATAAAATTTGAGGAGTTCTGCTGATTACTTAATAGAGTTTTATCAATGTTAATTCCTTGATTTTGAGAATTACATTATAGTTAGTAGGGAAGGTAATTATAGGGCATATGAATATACTTTTTACCATTTTCATAATATTTC